TCTCTCTCTCTCTTTCTCTTTCTTTCTTTCTCTCTCTCTCTCTCTCTCTCTTTCTTTCTTTCTTTCTCTCTCTTTAATTTTATTTTACCTTTTTGTCCAAAAAAAAAAACTTTATAGAAAAAAAATTTTTCTAAATGCGTTCGACCGTTAAAATTCGACTTTTTCGTATTATTAATTAAATCTCACGTTGTCAACCTTTTTACTTATTTTTTTCCCTCGTCTTTTAAATTTTTATCATTAACGAAAATGATTTATTATTATTATTATTATTATTATTATTATTATTATTTAAAATGATCACCTAGTATTTACAAAAAATTATTTTGTTTATATGCAAAAAAAAAATTTTAATCGATTTACGATAAAAACAACTAAAAGTGAAATTATTAAAAAAAATAAATAATAATAGTATCAATAAGTTAAAAATATTTCCAATTTTTTTTTTTTTTTGGGGGGGGGGGAGGGATATTAATAATAATAATAAATACGCATTAGGAAAAATATTTCAATGTCTTAGCATTTGAAACAAAAAAGAGAGACAAAGAAAATCCTTCTGATAATAATTTAATAAAAAAACTTTTTAAAATAAATTTAATCAATAATAATATGTTTATAAATTATTATTATTATTTTTTTTTTTTTGTTAGTAGTTAATGCTATTTGATTTAATGAAAGAAAAAGAAGAAAAAAAAAATCAAAATGTGGCTCTCATCCAACCAACAGAAAAAAAAAAAAAAATCTGGTTTGTTTACTTTTATTTTTATTTTATTTGAGGCCTAGAAATTATTATTGAAACGTTTGAATTTCTTTTCTTTTATTGGGTACACACCCTCGAGAAAATAATTTTATTATTTTTCCTTCTTTTCTTTATAATTTCCCATTGAAAATCATATCATTGTGTATACGCACCCACACACCCACACACACACACTTCAACAGAGTGAAATATTTTCATTTACCTTAAAGTCAAAAAAAAAAAAAAAAAAAAAAAATCTGGGATATCTCAAACTTTGCCGGATGCCTCCGAGGTTATTTATCCGATTGACCTCGTAAAACGTGAACCCAGTGTTAAGAAACCTTTATCATAAAAAAAATTTAAAAAAAAAAAAAATTCTGTCAATTATTTCCTTTTTCTTTGCGATAACGCATTAAAAAAAAAAATTAAAAGCTACACTTATAAAGATTTGAAATTAATTTCCTGTTGATTTTTTTTCATAACCCCCCCCCCCACACACACACACACCACGGCATTATCACAACGTCATTTTTTTATTATAAAAAAAAAAAAACATTATCACGTCTTTTTTTTTTTATTTAAATTTTCAAATGTTTTCCCCAAAGAAATCATTTTATAAATTCAAATTTAATTTACGAATAATGTTAATTAATTAGTTAATTTTTTTTTTCGTGGGGGGAAAATGGGGGGATGCGAAACTAATAAACAATATCCTTTTTTTTTTAACGTGTGATAATAATATCCATCATTCGATTAATACTTTTGTTTGTTCGTTTGTTTGTTTGTTTGTTACGCTCTTTGATAAGCTTTTGATACTTTTTTGAAACATTTAACTTTTCTAATTTTATATAAGGTTAGTTGGCAAGTTAGAATTCCCGCAGGTTCTCAATTGGGTTTAAATCAAGGCATCATGCTGATTCTTTTAACAAAATATATTGATTTTCCTTTTTTTTATTTTATAACTCGACAACAAAACGTATTTTCCTTCTTTCCTGCTGATAACATAATTTTTTTTAATAATGTTATTTTTTTTTTCACGCGGGAAAAAAACGAATCCCGAGGGAGACAACAAAAAAAAAACATCATCATAGGATAAATAATAATAAAAAAAATTTTTTCTAACCTACGATTAACCCCCTTAATCGTTTTTCATTTGATAATTTTTTTTTTAAATTTCCCCCCCCACCCCATCCCTCCTTTTTTAAATTAATAAATAAATTTATCGCGTGTAAATACCCGTGAGTTAATTAATTATTTATTAATTACCCATCGAAAATCATTTTTTTTATTTTTAACGAATTTTTTTTTTTAAATTATTATCAAAAAATATATTTTATTAATAAAAAACATAACAATAATAAAAAACATAAAAAAACAACCTTAAAAACAAAATCGAAACGATAAAAAAACAATGAGTAAAAATTAAACGGGGAAAGAAAAAAGAAAAAGAAGAAAACCGTTAAAAAAATTCAAATTTAAAATTTTCGAACGGAACGAACACGCAAAGTGAAAAAAAACAACAACTACTTGCAACGCGACGAGAAAAGGTTAGTTAGTTAGTACGTTACAAACTTACCGTTTTTCCTTTGAGGTTTAGCCTGTTTCCTTCTCCCTCGACTTCCGTGAAAAAATTCCAATGTCACTGACGTCATTTTCGATTTGACAAATAATAATAATAATAATAATAATAATCAAAACGAAAAAAATATAATTAAATAATAATGATAAATAATAATAATTATTCAATTGTAAATGAATCATTAAATATTTTTCCATGAGGGCTTTCAAACTTGTTAATATAATAATAATAATAATAATATTAAAAAAATATCACGTTTCCTATTAATTATTATTATTTTCATAATATTCAAAACAAAATTATTATTATTATTTTATTTTAATCGAAAATGAAATGTTTAAATAAAACGGAACCGTTTTAAGTTTGAATAACTAAAAAAAAAAAAAAGCCGATTCGCGCACAAATAAACACTTTTTTTAACGGTTAAAAAATGTTAAATATATTTAAAATACGTTTAAAAAAAAAAAAAAAAAAATGGAAATCACCATAAACAGCTCGTTTAAAAAAAAAAAAAATAAAAGAAAACGTCGCGTTTTTTCACTGTAATATTATAATAAAAACCGTTTAATTTAAATTTTTGCCTTTTTTTTTTTTATAATTAATTATAAACCGCACTTAATTATCAATTATCAATTATAAAAAAACGTAAAAGTTTAAAAAAAATTATTGTTAAAAAACGGTTAAACTTATTATTATTATTATTAATAACTGAAAAACTTTTAACGGACGGTTATTTTTTCCTCCCCAAACTTGTTGTCGATTCACGTCGATGGTAATGATGATAATGATGATGATGAAAAATTTTTTTTAATTAACGTATAAAAAAGAAAAAAAAAAACTTTTTATAAACCGATATCGTAATAATAATAAAACTTAAAAACAAATTTAAAATTGAAAAATGGAGAATGAAACAAACAAACAAACAAAAAGGAAGGAACTCAAAAAAAAGAAAAAAAAAAAAAAAAAAAAAAAACTAATTTGAAATCAGTTGAAACCGTGTGTTTAGAAAAACGTGGAGTTACTATGAGAGAAATGGAATTTACAACTGGCGTCTGAAGACGGAGGGGAAATGGAACATCGACTTCCCAATGGGCTTTTCTAAAAGGGAGGGGGAGGGATAAATGAGGGAGTTTAACAACGCGGCGACAACGTGGCAGCACCGTCAAAGTCATTAACGGTTTTTTTTTTTTTTGCGTTTTTATTTTTCTTCCTTTTTTTTTTATTTATTTGCGTTTGATTTTTCTTCCTTTTTTTTTTTTTTTTTTGTTTTCAAATCGAAAGTTTTTATTAAAATTGTTGTTTTAAATAATTAATTAATTAATTAAAAATATTATTGTGCATTCGTAAATAAAACGGTTAAGGAAAAATGTTCGACGTGTAAATAGTAAATAATAATAATAATTATCAAACGAGTAAATTATTATAATGCACTTATTAAAGTAAATAAAATAATTTTTTTTAATTGGAAATTTTTGTTGAAATTTATAAATTGTTACTCATATGGAATTATTTACACATTATTGTTTAAAAACAAAAAAATTATTAAAACGAATATGGTTTGGTAGGTATTAAATTCTAAGAATTTTGCTAAAATGCATTTTAAAAACTATCGTTATGGAATATTTATGTTTTTTTTTTTTAAAATAGGTCATATAAAATTTATTATTACTACTCTTTTTTTTTTTTAAAAAAAAAAAAAAAAGTATAAACTTAGTTTTCGTGATAATAAATTTGTTAATTCGTAATCACTTTTTAGTTGTACTCACTTGTATATACACACCTGTACACCATTTTGAATTTTGTTTGTTTTGTTTTTTTTTTTTTTTTTTAAACAATTAAATAAAACTTTAAAAGAGTTGTTGTTCTTTTGTGATTTTTTACAAATGATTTTTTTATTTAAATTATATATATATTTGTGATATGCATATAAAAAAAAAGGAAATTAAATAATTATTAAATATTCTATAGTGAAATGAATTCATTAAATTTTATTTGAATTTTTTTTTTGTGTTAAGTGTAAATAATTACAAGTTTAAAAATTTTTTTTTTTTTTTTATTTCACATTCGTTGATTTTACGAACACATTTTTAACTAAGGGAATTTTCATTAGTTTTTTTGTCAAAAGTTTGTAAACTAAATCAGTAATCATTTTCTTGGTGATAAATTTTTTTTTTTTGTTTGTATGTGATAATAATTTAGAATTTATCTTTTCATTTTTTCCAATTTCTGTTATCATAAGAAATCATAATTACATTAAATAAAATTAATGTTTTGATAAATTAGATTTGTAGGTTTTTGCCAAAAAATTTTCTCACTAAATGGTTATGATATTTATTTTAAAAATTTTTTGATTTTTTTTTATTTTTTAAATATATCAACTTAAAATTATTAATTTTTTATAAGAAATTATTTTATAAATAAAATTTTTTTAATAAGAGAAATTACCAAAAAAAGAATTTATTATTTATTTATTTTTTTAGAATTAATTTTTTTTTTTTTCAATGTCAAAAATTTTTTTTGTTTATGTTCAGAACTGACTTAATTATTAATTCATTAGTGATAGAAATTATTATGTAAATTGTTGTCATCACAAGGTATTGTGAATTTTTAAAAATGCATTCTTCGATTTGATAAAGAAAATGTTTTTTTTTTTTTCAAATTAAATTAATTTTTTTCAGATTCAAAATGTCGAGTGATATTGATGAAATATCACAATTAGCTAGCATTTTGCATCAAAATGGTGATAAAGTATTAAAGGCTTTAAGTAAATTTACATTAAATGCTGTTTTGTTACAAAAATTAAATAATCAATTTAATTTGATTTTGGAAAATGTAAATAATAGTGATAATGAACTTTATTATGATATTGTATCGGAAAATGAGAGTAGACAAATTTTAAAAGATTTGCAATTTTTAAATGATTTCATACAAAAAACAGTTAGTTTGAAATTAACAAATAATTCTAATTTAAATTTATTAAATAAAAAAGTAGATATATCAAATTTTAAAAACATTAAATATTTAGAAATTAAAAAAGTATCAATTAATGAAATTGTCGGACTTAAAAATATACAATCTCGATTAGAATCTGTGGTGTGCGATAGATGTTTGTCACATCTCGAAGATCTTTTTTCTAAGTGTGGGGGAGATAATACTTGTGATGTTGTTTGGAACACACTCAGAGAAGCTGTTTTAAGTTTTAATAAAATAAATGTGATTGATAAATCTATTGCATTGGCTCCATCATTACAAGTACTCGATTTAAGTCACAATCAAATAACCGATGTAAAAGCCATCGAATGTTTACCTAATTTGAAATATGTTAATTTAAGTTACAACTGCTTAGACAGTATACCTACTTTTCATAAATCGGCAAAAAAAAAAATTGAACTTCTAGCTATGAAAAATAATTATGTTGAAAATTTAAAAGGTATTTCATTTGAATTAAGCATACTTCTTGATATAAAATTTTCATTTGTGTTATTTTTTAACTTTTAATTATTCGTTACAGGCCTCAAAGGATTATCTCATTTAAATGAATTGGATTTGTCGAATAATTGGATTTCAGATTGGGGAAGTTTTTACATGCTGTTATCCATATCTACATTAAAATGTCTTTCATTATCTGGAAATCCAATAAGCTGTTATAGAAATTATAGATTAAAAGTAGCTGAATATCTTCACATTAATGCTTCCTTTAATGATTTTTATTTAGATAAAATCAAACTGTGTAAAAAAGAAAAGGCTTGTGTTGGTTTGAAACTCTGTGATGGAAATTTAGCTTTAAACAAATCAATATTAGAAGAGAAATTCAGTGAAAAATCTCTAAATTCAGATGATTATTTGAAAAAATCATCGATACCGATAAAAAAAACTGGCAAAACTAGATTGGTTGACATACCTAATTTGGATGATGGCACCAATGAAGAAAAAGCTATAGATAATCAATTGGAATCATTGAGTAATTTTCTTTTTATTCCTCATTTTTTTTAAATTTTACAATTAGTCATTTTAAATTATTTTTAATGTGTAAAATTAAATTTTATTTAGATTCTTCGACTGAACATTTAATTACAAAAAAAAGAATAGAACACACTCGATCTGCATATGGAGTGGATAATTGGCTGGTTCATGGAAGTTCTGTAGTTCAAGACATTTTGGGATTACCCTCTGTTGAAGTTTCGACATCAACTCCTTGTGATGATTTATGTCTCAATGCAGCTTTAGACTCTGTTAAAAATACAATAACCACAGTGGCTGTAATTGAAACCCAACCGCCAGAAACTGTCATTAAAGATGTGGAAAAAAATAATCAGGATTCGTTTTTTACTTGCAACGATGAAGATAGCACGTTGAATTATTTTTCTGCTGAAACCTCGAGGGAAAAGGAAAACGCTGTTGATAAGAAAAAAGAAAATTCAATTGATTACACAAATGATGATTGTTCGAATACAGAAGAAGTTCAAGATCCAGATGATGAAAAAGAAACAAGTATATTTACACAATTTTAACATTTTGCTCTCTTTTCGACAAACAATTCATAATCAAACTAATTGTGATTGATTGATTGAATTTTCAGGTGAAAATGAAAATATTTTCACGGTTTTGAAAGAAGTTAAAGGGAATGGTAGAACCACAATACAAGATGAATTATTTTTAGCCATGACAGAAAATGAATTACGAGAAAGAGAATTAATAAAAAGAAAAATAATAACAAAATGGTGTTTAAGTAGTCTCGAAAGTTGCATCAAATTAAAACCTAACAAATTACAATTGGTTTTCAATACGGTTAAAAGAGATAAAAAAGAAAGGATTTATTCGTTTAAAGAAAACGATGCCAACGTATTATATAAGTTATTAGTTGAGATATTAGAAAATAGAACGTTAAGTGATATGAATCAAATTGTTTACAAATGTGAAAATTGCAGTTCTCAATTTTCCGCTGAAATCAAATCCGGTAAAACGGGTACGCCATTTTTTTTTTGATTTTACGTTCAATAACGAACGTATTGATTTACTTTAAAAAAAAATGATTTCTATTATTTAATTATTATTTTAGATGACAACGCTTGTTGCCCTTTCTGCCATAGTAAATTTATACTCCAGTTGGATGAAGTTCCACTTCCGTTAAACAATTCGAAAAGGAAAAATGTCGAGAATAATAATAATAATAAAAATTCGGATGGCAAAGTATCTCACAACAGGAGTTTTAGTGCGAGTGGATTTTTTCAAAGTTTTAGAAATCCTAGCGAAGATAAATCATCTTCCGAATTGTATTCCCAATCGAGTGCAGGTATAATTGGGATACATATCGACATTTGGAATGATGACGCAAAGAATGAAACCTTTCTGTTAAATGTTACAGGTTCTGCAGCATCGTTAAACGAAATAGGTGAATTATCATCAATTCAAAAGGACAACATAAAAAAATCAGATAGCGATATCGAAGTGTTGAGTAATCCAAGTCAGAGTAGTATAGAAATCATCGATGGGCCTACCAAGTAAAGTTTTTTTCTGTTATTTTTTGTTAGCAGCAGCAGCAGCAGCAGCAACAGCAGCAGAATGAAACAAAATAACAATAATAATTAATTTACTCATTGATTTTTTACTATCAGATTCCCTAGTGCTAATCCGTCTGCACAAAAGCAAATAAATGAAAATGATGATGACACTGATGATACACTTGTGCCAAATTTATCAACCACCGAAATTCTTCAAAATAATCCGCCTGCTTTACTAACAGAAAGTAGTTCATCCGGTAATAAAACAACCCCAACTACTTATTTTCTTGTCGCTTGTTTGTTTGTTTGTTTGTTTTGTAATTTTTTTTCAAATAGAAAAACGAAAAATTTTTTTAAAAATTTAAATTTCAGGATCGGTTACTGACAGCATATGCACGGCTTACGAGAATTCAAACGCAAACAATTCGAATTCGAATGGTGGTAAACCTGGGAAAAAAGATTTTCAAAAATTGGAAATTGAAAAAAAAATGGATGAACCGATTCTTCAAGGCTGGTATTTATTAGTTTTCTCTTCTTTTGACTGTTTTGTTTTTCTACTGACACGTTTTACATACCCTGAATTTTTATTATTATTATTAACAAATGCATGAGAAAAAGAGTTTGGGTTGTTGAAATCTTTGTTCTGTTGTTGCAAATCTTCACAAATCTTTATCGTTAAAATTTTTTTTTTTTTTTTTTATCATTGATATTTTTGACTTTCTTCGCTATATAAATATTTTTCAGGAGTGTTAACGAAAATAAGGAAGGCACAAAAGGAGAAGAAAGCGGTGGATTTTGTTAAATACTCATATTCAGATTTTACAAATTTAGATCATAGAATAAAACTTTTACTGTACACAAATGTTTTCGAAGATGCACAAGAAGAATTTTCTTTCGGTATTCGAGTACGTAATTAAATATGGCGTTTAAAATAAGTAAAAATTGTTTTTTTTTTTGTTAACTTTTAACTTGTTGGTGTTTTCAGGCTGTCGTCAATCCATTCAACACAAATAATTTTTTTCCATCCTGCATAATCGTGTCGAATAAAAAATTATATTTTTTAAAAATAACAAATGGCGAACATGGGTAATTATTGACAACGAGTTCATCAATAATAATAATAATAATAATAATAATAATAATGGGCCGGATCACGTGAGTCTGATTGAAAATTTTTATTTTTCAGTGACGACGCACGAAATTTTTTAGAAAAAATAGATTTTTTATGCTTTAATTTAAACGCAGTTAAATATATATACACATTAACGTGGCACCAAGGATTCGCTGTTAAAATTCAATCACCCAACAACAGTAAAAAATGGAAGCAATATTTGATTTTGTTAATGAATTCTACGAGGACTCGAAATTTTTTGAAATTTTTAACATCGGGTACGAGTGGTTGTTTTCTCTCTCGAAAGAAAAACTTTTTTCCGTAATATAATAATAATAATAATAATGCATTTTCAGAATCGCACTGTCTCAACAAAACCAGAATAAATAAAGAGATTTTGGAGAAACCTTACATGTCATTACAACATTCGTTGTTGTCTTCAACTTGTTTAGACGACATAAACATACAATATTTTTGTTTATTTAACACGTGCACGATAACGAACGATTTGAATTCTACGGAAATTAAATATGGCGGAATTTTAACGAATTCTACGGATATCGTATTAATCGGTGGGTCGTTAAATTGGTTATTCGTCGAATCGAACGATCTTCCCGTATTCGAACGTTTTCAAAAAATGAAAAATTTAAAAAAAGTGGTGAGTGCCGGGGGGTAGATGTCAAAATTTAATAGTATACATGTCTTTGTTTTTTAATTATAATTTTATTAATTTTTTTTTTTTTTTTTTTTTTTCAGTTGAAAAATGAATGTAAAATAATTTTACAATTTTTCAACGGTGAGAACGAAGAAAGTGACGTTTGGAATTTTTTGATGGAAGGAGAAGAATGCGTTCAGGAATTATTGAAATTTGTTAAAGAATCGTGGGAAAATATTTTTTTTGTGCCTTTGAAAATATCAGACATTTAAAAATATCGTCCTTAATTAAAATATAATTAAATCACGCTTTTTTATGTGCCTTGTAACTTAGTTCATCATTTAATAACGAATAAGTAAATTTAAATTAATTGAATATTAATAATAATAATAATAATAATTTACCGTTTAATTATTAATGAAATTAATTATTAATTAATTAATTACGATTTATTTATATTAATGTATTATTCAATATATATATTTATATATTTCTTTGTAATATTACGGCGTATAATTAATGGGTGCTTAATAATTTAATATATTTGTAAAAAGAAAATAAAAAATAATTATGACTGCGAATTATTAATTACTTTATTCGATTATAAAAAAAAAAAATAAATCAAATTAAAATTTGTTTTCGTTTTATTTTTATTTATTTTTTGTGCCCAAGTATAAATTTTGTGGAATTAAATTACGAAGGATAAAATGGATTTATTTATTAAAAAAAAAAAAATGGCGGGAAAATAAGGTTTGTTCGTAATTTTAACAGTTTTATAATAGCGGGTTTTAAGTTGGCAAAACTGTATTGGCGGCCATTTTGTTTAGAATTACCGAGATAGATACGGTTTTACTTTTATTAAAAAATTGACGGAATTTTTTTTGTCAAAAATGTTATTTAAATGATTTATTTTTTAAATTGATTATAAAAAAAGAATTTGAAAAAAGTAATTAAATTATGTTTAATGTTTATTTCATTGTCCGATATTTTAATTAATAATGTTTAAAAAAAATTTTTTTTTAAAATGTTTTACATTTGAAAACATTATATGTATATGTATATATGTAAAAGTACTTATGTTTTATATATATTAAAATTTTTTTTATTCGTTAAGAAATATAATTTTTTTAAAAAAAATTTAAATATACATAATAGTGTTTTTTCAAATTCCAAAAATTTTAATTTAAAGTTAATATTTCTTAATTAATTTCATTGCAGGTACAATGATTTATTTCTTCAGCAGTTTTTACATTTAATTACCATTTTTAAATTATTAATCTACGCTTAGGTTTTTTTTTTTTTTTTTTTTATTATGGAATCACCTATTCAATTTTCTAATTCTCCTAAAAAGGAAATTTCTAAACGAAAAAATTCACTTAGTAGTTTTACTTCAAATTATGATTTTTCCCAGGAAAATTTGGATGATATTTCACATTCAGTTAATGTTTCTTTGAATGATGTTAATTCAGTTTCATTAATTTTGTCTCCTAAAAATAAAGAATTACCTTCCTCCCCATCAGATTCTTTAAAAAACACACAATATCCCACACTTTCAAGCGATAAACTTAGAATTTTTTTACCTTCCAATATTTCACCTACTGAAATACCTTTGCCTGAAAATCCTAGTTCCGAAAACAAAGATAATTATTTTCCTCTTACATCCTCCATATCGAGTTCTTACGATATCGAATCGAAACTCATAGAAAGTCCAAATTTTTTTTCATCTGTTCAAAACGATTTTGGAGAAAGTGTGGTTGATGAAAACAAATTATTAGATAGTTATAAGTAAGTCTGCATATTTGTGTTAATTTTTTTTTAATTACAATGAGAAATATTTTTCAGTATATATAATATTCCAGATATTCCCCAAGCAAAGTGGAATCTGATGATGATAATCAAGATTTTAATGCACTGAAACCCAAAGTCTTGGGAAAAGAACAAGCGAAAAAAAGATTAATGGCATTTTCATTAACAAAGCAACCTAATGTTGTTAAAAAACAAGTTAAGACTAATATACTATTAAAAAATATTAAAGAAAAGCCGCCAAATCCTAACAAAAGCTCTGGAGTTCAAGAACAGTTCAGAGCTACAATAAGTGAAATTGAAGAAGAAAAAAGGAAACTTTTGCAAAATTTACCCAACTATTATATTTCAAAAATGAACGAGTTAGCCAAAGCCACAGAATCAATTGCCGTTTCGTCAGGTGGATAATATTTATCTATGTAAAAAAAGAAGCTACTCGATAAAATTTTTAATTTGGGATTTTCTTTAGTTTCTAGCGATAAAAATTCATTTAAAAAAGATGACAGTGTTTCAAATAATTCAGGTGAACTTAGTGATAAAGATAATGAAACATATAAAAAAAGTTCCAAGAGGAAAAGAAGTCGGACTAGGAGTCGAAGTAGAGGTAGAAGTCACAGGAGAAGTAGGAGTAGGAGTAGAAGTAAGCAAAAAAAGAAAAATGATAGTAGGAAAAATAAAGAATCTAGTAGGAGTAAAAAAGAGAATCGAAATAAAAGTAGGAGTCCAAGTCTTGGTGGAACTATGGAATCAAATCAGGATAAAAAGGTAATTTTTAAAATGGCCGCCATCATAAATGATTTCCTATAATTAAAAAACATCTATTTTACTATTTAGGGTTAGGATGTATGATGAATAGTTTTCTTCAATAAGTAGTATAATAAAAAACATAAAATAATTGTTGGATAATTGTTAATTAATTGGTTTTCTTTTTTTTTTTTTTTTGTATTACAGAATTTAAATACTTTACCGAAAATAAAAAAATTACCAGATAATTGGAAAAGTTTTAAAGAGTTGGGATTAATTTTAGATAGTAATTTTTTTCATTTAAAATCACAATTTAAAAATTATGAAAAACATAAAGAGGGACGAAGAAGGTATTTAAATAAAAAAAAAATTTTTCTTTATGGAATCTCATGAATTCATCAGTAGTTATTTCGTTTTTGCTTTTATTACAGATCAAATTCTCCTTGTTCTAAATATGATTTTAAACCAATATATAATTATTTAAAAAAAGAACCTAAAATGATGTCACCTCTAAGGGCAAAACCTGCAAATTACGGAACGGATCCTCCTTATTTCGATGAAAAAATAATCAAATATACGAAATCAAAACCAATGTTAATTTGGTCTGAAAATCCTCGTCATGCTTCTCAATTTTACATGCCACGAACTATGCTTTTGGAAAATTGTGATTCTTCATCTTTGAAAATTTTACAATCTATAATTAATAAGTAAATAATGAAAAAAAAAAAAAAAAAAAATTTTTTTTCAAAGTTCTTTACTTACAAAAAAAATAATTTATTTCATTTTGTTTCAGTGAAACAAACTTTAAAGATACTTTTAAAAAAGAAAATTCTACTACCCGTAATTGGTATCCCGTTAGTAATTTGTTTTTACAACCTTCCAACCGTGAACTTGATGTGAATAATGTTGAAAATTTAGAATTCGATTCGAAATCATCATCATTATTAGTTTGTAAAGAGAGCACTCGACAAAAAACACCGAACGATAAAATTGACTCGTTCGTTAAAAAAGAAAGTTTAAATTCAATAAAAAATAAGGAAAAAAGTTCGGCAGAAAAACGTGTTAATTTGGTCAATGACAGTTACTTGTCCGAAGACGAAGCCGACACGTTGAAAATTAAAGAAATGGTTGTTGGAAATGTTAAAGTTCAATTAGATTTGGATTTAAACAGCGTCAAAGTTCGTTCCAAATGGGATAGTGATTACGAAGGGGAAAATAGTGAAAAAGAAGGAGTGATTCGCACCGAAGTTGATATGGAAATAGCGACTTCGGAAGAAGATAATGATAATATATCAACTGCACCAAAGGAAATTGAAACACCAAAAAGCGCGGATGTAAATCCAAGCAATCAAATGTCAGAGTCCGTGCAAGGAGTAAATTATAATCAATCGTGTAATGTATTTAATGAAGCGATAGTGAAAAGTGAAACGATTTTGACGAATGCGTCAAATCAAGCATCGGAAAATTTAGCATCCGAATATGAAGAATTTTTAAAAATGGTTTCGTTCGATTCAAATGTGAACGAGAATACGGACAAAATTGAAAAGGCCCCCGAGGAATCCTCACAACCAGAAAAATTAAAAATTTCCAATTCAGAAATCGAACAAAATGAAAAGGAAAATTTCAAAATACAAGATACCGATTGGGATAAAGAAAGCGATCACGAGGAAAAACTTAAAACTCAGGTTACTAATTCGATTAAAAGTACCGGTTCGGACTTATTTCTGACGAATGAAAATAATGCAGAAATAAAAATAAAAGAAGACAATAAAAAAGCAGATGTTGAAAAGGTAAACAAAAAAGAAAAATTAGATAAAATGTCGAACAAGGAAAAAAACCTAAAATATGAGTCTACATCCAGCAGTGATGATTCCTCGTCTGATTTTTACGAATCCGAAAGCGAAACTGAATCTGATAAGAGTAAAACGTCTAAGAAAAAGAAGAAAAAAATAAATAAAACGAAGAAAAAAAATAAAAACGATTCTTCCACGAGTGAAAGTGAAAGTTCTAGTGATAGTTATTACGAAAATAAAAAATCTAAGAAAAAAAAGGCAAAAAAGAAAAAACCAATGAAAAAAATAAGCTCGTACGCCGACAGCGATGATGAAAAATCAGATGCATTTTTAAGACATTTGAAATTTAAAAATGATTTGCTGTTGAGAAAAATCGAAGAAACCGATGCTTTCATTGAAAAAAATAAGGGGGAAAAGAAGCAAAAGCGAGACAACGAAAGCAAATCCGATGACAAAAATAGTTTTGATAAATTAAACAAAAATAAAAAAAGTAAAAAATCTGAATCGACGTCCAAAGAAAAATCGAAGAAGAGTTTGAAATCGGCGAAAAAAAGCAAGAGCACGAAAGGAAGCAGTTCCTCGTCATCGGATGAGTCTGATAGTACCGACTCTTCCGGTAAATCTCCGAGAAAAAAAGACAAAACGAAGGGGAAAAAGAAACGAAGTACTTCAAATACCTCCGATTCCGATGGTAAAACTGAAACAGATTACAAAAAACAAAATTACGTTGGAAATTTGGATGATGTGAAATATTTAAAATCCCTTGAAAACATTAATGAAAAAATTAAAAAAGGGAAGCAAAATAAAAGGTACGCTTCGTCGGATTCCGACAGCGAAAGCAGCGCATCGGATAAAAACAAAAAACCAAACGACGAAAAATTTAAAACTAAAATCACCGAGGACCTGGATAAGGAAAACGCTTATAATTCTGGCTGGAGAGAAAATTTTTTGTTGCAAGATTCATTCGATAAAAGCAACCGGTTGAATTTTACCGACAGAGAACCGGGTTGGAAAAGAACGACTCCCGTCAAAGTTTCTAAAAAAAAGAAAAAAAAAGAATTGAAAGAAGACGATTGGGAGACCAGTTCGTCTGACGATTATTCCGACGCCGAACGTGAGAATAAAAAAGGTTGGAGCAACGTCGCATCTTCTGACGTAAAACAATCGGATAAAATGGCGGAAAATTTTAATATTTTCAACGGTAAAGAAAAATTTAATTTATCCGGATTCGAACAAAGTTTTGACAGTCGCAGTATCGTTAATAGTTCCGAAATACCTGTGCCATCCGCATTTGCTGCCATGAAAAATTCTCTCTCTAACTTTTCCTTCAACGAAAACAGCTTTTGCAGTTTCGGTCAAGAATTATCGAGAGATTTTTTTCTTACCGAACAAAGCATTTCAAACGCGACGGAAATTAGAGATGATGGAAATGTGGTGAGCACCAGTTCGGAATTGAGACCTTTTCAATCGGTCGGAAAACAAAATGAAATGTCTGTTCATAGCAAATCCGAATTGTACAGTCCCGGTCACAGTTACTCGGAGGCTTCTGATTTAGAAGATGGTAATAAACCTGAAAAACGAACCGTTTCAAAAGACGAAGTTTACGATCCCCTGAACACCGATAGTGAAACCTCTGCAGAAAATGCGGATGTTGAATTAAATAAAATTCCGTTGCCTCGTATTACTGACATTATACTTCCTGGCGAAACAAGATTTGCTGAGGATGTTTGTAAATTTTCAGCACTTTCCAATAACAAATCAACTGCAGAAGACGTCATTTCGTCGAATTCCAAACAGTGTTCGTCTCCCGACAAGTCTTTTCCTCAAAGTGACAACGTTATTCCATTATCGACCGTTTTGCTTCAGGATTCTTATAAAAGTTCGTTGAAGAAACAAGTTATTAATGTAAAACCTCAGCAGAAATTAATATCAAAAGCAGCGTCCGTTTTTCAAGATGAATCGGATGAAGAAAATGTCGACATCAATAATAAAAAAGGACAGTTGGAAATCACGTCTCACAATGAAATTTTTGAAAAATCCGAAAAACAATTAAAAGAAGATGTTAATTGCAAACTCCAAAATGCAGATCTTTTGAAATTAGACGACAAAGAGAAGTTAGAGTCTGAAAAATCTCTCGAGTTAAATGAAAAAATTAGAGAAAAAAATGACAATTTATTACGCCAAAGACAAAGAAGTATTAGTAAAGAAAAAACTGAAACGAGTAGTAGTAGTAGTAGTAGTCATCGTAAAAGAAAAAAAAGAAGTTTAAGTAAGGAAGACGGCGATGATAAAAGTCGCAGAAAAGACAAAGGCTCCGGCAAAGAGAAAAAAAGTCGTAAAAGTTCAAAAAATCGCAAGAGTAGAACACCAGAGCCTTCTTATAAAACTAATAAAAAAGCCGACAAACGAGAGATTAGAAGTGATAGCTTTGAAATAGAACCTTTGAAAGGTTCATCCGACTATAAGGACTTGGAGGAAACCGTTCGGCCTATTCCTGTTTTAACGGGACTGAATACTTCTTCGGATTGCCACTTTTGGAATAAATCTCATTTAGTTGGATATTCTTCAGTAGAACTATCAGATTCTGCCCGGAATCTTATTGATTCTTCCGAATCATTCGATATATATCCTTCTGACGAAGTCAAATTTAGAAATAATAATTACGATAAAATTTCAGCCGATCATCATTATAAAGAATCTCATGATAAATTTTCTGGCTCAAAGTCGAAAGAAGAAAGAAGGCGGAAAGAAAGACGGAGTAAATCAAAAAGTTTATCACCGAAAAGGAGAAACAGAAGCAGAACGCCAGACAAGAGAAAAAGTCCAAGAGTTCGAAGTCCGAGAAGAAGATCTCCGAAGCGTAGAGACAGGAGTTCTTATTCACCTCGAAGAAGGAGTCCCAAAAGGAAAAGTCCGATGCGACGTTATCGTTGTTCAAAGAGTCCCGATCGCAGAAGGAAATCCAGATCGCGAAGTCCTAGAAAGCGGAATTCACAGAGTCTCAGTCCCAAAAGACGTGATTCTCCGAGAAAAAGAAATTCTTCGGCTAGAGGATACAGTCCTAGACGTTCCGTGTCGCCTCGCAACGAAAACCGTTTTTCACAACACTACTCGGAATCTTTCCGAAACAAAATAAGCGTCATCGAAAGGATGAGCGAAGACTCAAAAGTGAATTCGAATTCGACAAGTTTTTCACGCATGTCGGACGACATAATAAACGAAACGGATATGAACTTTTACGGACGGGAATATCCACCGAGAGATTTCGGATATTCCGATGATTTAACCGGCGGTAATTTAATAACCGTTAAAAATCACGAATTTGAAAAACCCAATTCTCCCGAGAGACTAAGCCTGGATCAAAGGATCGAATTGGAATTGGGTGTTTCGATGGGTTCGAATTCTCAAGGACCAAACGATCAGTATCACATTTGCAAACAATTTCAAGACATCAATTCGGGTCATTATTCAAATTCTTACAATTGTGAAAATAATCATTCAGGCGGAAGCGAATTTTATCAAAATCATCATCATCATCATCATCATCATCATCATCATCCCGCGTCGGCGAATTCCGATTTTAATTCTCAGTATTACAACGGACAACAGCAAAACGTCGGGTATGGGTCTTTCCAGCCTTATGCTGGAAATTCTCAGTCGGCGCAAGGTTCGATGCTTCAGGTACGTTAAAAAATAAGTTTTAATTACGCGTGGAAAATTCTGCTTATTAATTTAATTTATCAAGGTCGGAAACATCGTCGAAGTCATTCCTTCGGTACAACAATCTTCGGTTCAATCATCACCCAATAAAAATACCTGTCATCAGATCATGCAGGTGGGCAATGTTCTTCAAGTGGTACCTTCTCAAAAACCGGTTCAAGGTTCACCGATGGCGTTTAATTCTGCCAATAATAGCTTCGGAACTCCTGTAAATACATCACCCGTACCTCCTGCCAAGACTCAAAAAGCAACTGCGGTTGTGGCACCAAGTTCGGTTGTTTCCACGCCAAGTAAGATGGAATTCCCTTTCACGTCTTTTTTTTATTGCCTCTTAATACAGAATAAGGTGATAATAATAATAATAATAATGTTTCAGATCCCGAGGCGATCATTAATCCTTTAATTAAAGCCATACAATTAGAAAGGGAGAAAAGAAAAAAAGAAAAGGAAAAAAGAAAAATGGAAAGGGAAGCTAGACGGAAAGCTAGGCAGCTAAGGAGGGAAGCTAAATTGATGAGCGTTAACGAAAAGTTAAAGGTTACGAAAAGAATCAAATTCCTTTAAAGGTTTTTAAGGTACGCGCGCGCACCGTAAAAATTGACGATCGAATGTTATTTTACAGAAAAGCGTTCAAGATGAAGGTTTGATGTTGGGTCAAGAAGTTGATGACGACGAACTGATGGACGGATTGGATCTTCCCAGTCCTCCCATTCCTGTTGAAATCATAACCGTGTCATCTCCGAATACTCTTCCTCCCGCGGGAAAAGGAATATTAATCACAGCTGGATTCATGTACGTTGGAAAAATGGCTCCAGCTAAAAAATTTTATTTTAATTTCAATCCAAAGTTTTTTTTTAAATTAAAATTTTCAATTCTTTTTCCAGGCCTAAACCGCCGTCGGAAAAAAAAGAAGTCAAATTCGCCGACGGAATTTGTCCGGGAGAGGGAACGTCAACGTCGGGAGGAGAAGAAAATGCTCCGCCGTCTCCGAAGCCGAAATTACCAAAAGAAAAAAGATATAAAAAGAAAAAGACAAAAGTCAAGAAAAAGGTTAAGGTGAGGAAAAAGATTTTATTCAATCAGGGAATGGAATCATTCATTCCCGATGCAACGCAAAATAACGCATTGTTTGTTTTTCCAGGTACAAATAATTAGGCAAATTATCCAGAGCGAAGGAGACGACGAAGAAGATGATTTGTCTCCTCCTCCTCCACCTCCCGGAGATCCACCACCGGTTTTTTTCGCGAGGTTTCCTTTTGTCGGTGACGCACAGTTTCCAGGTAACGAATTGTTAATAATAATAATAATAATAATAATAGAGAATGACAGGATACTTTACCCCCCCAAAAAAGGGAAATTTTTCAAAACTTTTTTTTTTTAAACAGTTTATCAAAGTCAAACGACAACAACCACAACACTTACAACAGTTCAGTATCCAGCTCAAACGTTTTAATTAAAACGTAAGTAACAAATTTATTATTTTTATCTTCCATAAATTATTTTAATTCTAAAAATGGCTGAATTTCATGTTTCAGGTCGTGAAGCTGTGGCGAATCTATTTTATAATATGATAAAAATTGTTTAAATAATAAAAACACAAAAAAATAATATGATTTACTATTATTTCTTTTTAAAAAAAAAAGTATATATATATATAAAAATACGTACGTAAATATATAAATTTGAAAAATTTATTTCAAAAAAAAAAAAAAGTTTTTGTTTTCTTTATTTTTCCTCCTCCATCTTTTTTTTTGTAGGGGTATTGAAGTTGTGAAACAAGAAAAGTAAAAATTTTACTTATTTATTAATTTATTTATTTAAAAAAGAATTAAATCATCAATAATTAATCGATTTATGATTAATTAAATTAATAAATGATAAAAAGTTTTGATTATTACAATAAAAAAAATGAAAAAAATTAAGCCGGGTATGGAAAGTGTTTATATATATGAGTAATAAGATTACCTGATAGATTTAAACTTTTTTTTTTGAAAAAACTGTCAAAATATTTACACTAATTAATTTTTATAATAATTATTTATAATTAGAATGAAAATCCATAAATAATTGATTTTTTTCTTGGTTAAATTAAAAAGGTTACTCGATTTAAAACGTAATATGAAGAAATATCAGTAGGGGAAAAAAAACCGTTAGAGATGCGTTGCCACATGTAATGAAAAATTTTATTCGAAATAAAATGGCATTTTAAGTTTTTATGAGACAAATTATGCCGTGATTTTTCGAAATTAATTCTAAAAATGATTAAATACGTGAAATAATTTAAAAAAAAGAATTTTGAAATAATTAAAAATATAATTTCATATTTAATATTTTATTCGTTCGTGTTGGCAAAAGTGTTTCGGTTCTTTGTTTGCCTTTTGGCTTAGGACGCTGTCAGAATTACTGTAAAGGTAAGAATTTAATATTAATGTTTAATTAGTTTACGGATATCCTTTCGAATGCTATAAATTTATCAATTAGGGGTTCGTTTTTAAAATAATTTCGTTACCATTCGATTTTTCATTGAACCCCATTAAGATAATAATTATCCCGCCACTCATATTCTAATACGCCATATTTTTAAAATTGAATATTTTTGATTAAAAATGTATATTTTGGCGGGTTAGTTAAGTAAAACGTTTCATCGAATCAAAGCTAAATTTGTCATTTTTTTATTCTTTAATTAAAATTAGTTTAATTGATTTAGTTTAAAATGATTAGAATTTGAAAATAAGGAGAAATAACATTCAAAGTGTTTTAGTTGGATCGTTAATTATTTATCAATGATACTTTAATAGAGAGAATAATTTGAGTTAAAATTTTCGATAAACCTCACGCGGTTTTCTTTTATTTAAAATAGATGAAGAAGGTAAATGGAGAAATAATGATAGAAAATGACAATGAAATACACAATAATGCTGTGCCTCCAGCAAAAAAAATCAAATCAAAAACTACTGTCGAAGAAATATATCAGAAAAAATCCCAGCTGGAACACATTTTATTAAGGCCAGATACTTACATAGGTAATTTATAATTTAAACTTTTTATTTTTTTTTTGTCGAAAATCTGTGTCCAAAAATTTTGTAATTTATATATGTAATAATGCTTTTAGGATCTGTCGAACCTGTAAAAGAAAATATGTGGATATATGATAATGAAACAGAAAAAATGATACAAAAAGATATTACATATGTACCTGGGTTGTATAAAATATTCGATGAAATTTTGGTAAATGCAGCTGATAATAAACAAAGAGATAAAAAAATGGATTGCATTAAAATAGACATAGATGCGTAAGTTATTTTTTTTTTACTTAAAAAAGTATTAAATTTATTGTTTTCATTTTAAATATTATTCTACTTTATTTTATTTTAGTGAAAACAATACAGTTTCTGTATGGAATAATGGACAAGGGATTCCAGTAGTTGAACACAAAGAAGAAAAAATGTTTGTTCCGACAATGATTTTCGGTTATTTATTAACTTCGTCTAATTATAACGATGAAGAAGAAAAAGTTACAGGTTTGTTTGATTTGGTTTCTTTTTCTTTTTAATATATATATATATATATATATACCATTTGATTTTAACTGGGTTAAATTTTTTTGTGATTTTGTTTGATATTAATTAAAATGAGTTTTTTTTTTTTTTTTTCGGAATGTTAGGTGGAAGAAATGGTTATGGTGCTAAACTGTGTAACATTTTCAGTACGAAATTTACACTTGAAACAGCTTCAATTGAATACAAAAGAAAATTTAAACAAACTTGGGCTAATAATATGACAAAAACTACTGATCCTAAAATATCAGATTTTTTCGGTGAAGATTTTACTAAAGTAACTTTTTCTCCTGATTTAGCCAAATTTAAAATGACTCATTTAGATAAAGACATTGTTGATTTAATGTCGAGGAGGGCTTATGACGTCGCTGCTTCTACAAGAGGAGTTAAGGTAAAATTATAAATAAATAAATAACATGCATTCTTTAACAATTAGAATAAAAAAAAAAAATTTAATTTTTTGTAGGTTATATTAAACGGCAAACGACTTCCGATAAAATCTTTTAAAGATTACGTGGAATTGTATACGAAGGGAAAAGAAGATGATGCGGGAAATCCAGTTAAAATCATTTATGAAAATGTTAATGAAAGGTGGGAGGTGGCTGTCACAATGTCTGATAATGATTTTCAACAAGTTTCATTTGTTAATAGTATTGCAACAACTAAGGTAAATTAATTATGTAAATCCAAATAATTATATTTTGTCATAAATTCTTAGTTTTTGATAAATGATTTTTTTTTTGTGATCCTCAGGGAGGAAGACACGTTGATCACGTTACAGATATACTCGTGAAAAAACTGCTAGAAGTGTGTAATAAAAAAAATAAAGCTGGAATGCAGTTAAAAGCGCATCAAATAAAAAATCATTTATGGATATTCATAAATTGTTTGATAGTCAATCCTACTTTTGATTCACAAACAAAAACTCACATGACGTTACAAATGAAAAATTTCGGGTCGAAATGTACTTTAAGTGATAAATTTATAACAAACGTAAGACCAAAATTATCAAGATTTAAACTTTCTGTGTGCGTTTAAAATAAAAAATTAAATTCAAAATTTTATTCGTTTAGGTTACAAAATGTGGAGTAATAGAAGCAGTTTTATCATGGGCTAAATTTAAAGCCGAAGCTCAAATGGATAGAAAATGCAGCGGAAAAAAAATGACAAAATTAAAAGGAATAGCTAAATTAGAAGATGCAAATGACGCGGGTACAAAAAACTCGGTGAATTGTACGTTAATTTTAACGGAAGGAGATTCGGCTAAATCGTTAGCCGTTTCCGGTTTAGGAGTCGTGGGTAGAGATAAATACGGAGTTTTTCCACTTCGTGGTAAATTGCTCAACGTACGGGAAGCGACGCATAAACAAATATTAGAAAATGCCGAAATAAATAATTTAATTAAAATATTGGGATTGCAATATAAAAAAAAATACGAGAGTTCAGACGATTTGAAAACATTACGCTACGGAAAATTAATGATAATGACAGATCAGGATCAGGACGGGTCTCACATAAAGGGTTTGATAATCAATTTTATACATCATAATTGGCCTTCCCTCTTACGATTGCCATTTTTAGAAGAATTTATAACGCCGATCGTTAAAGCGACAAAAGGAAAAGAAGAATTATCATTTTATTCTCTGCCAGAATTTGAAGATTGGAAAAAAGCAACGGAAAATGCACATTTGTACAGGACAAAATACTACAAAGGTTTTTAATCAAGTATTGCAACTTTTTTTTGTGTTTTACGAATACTACGGAATTGAGAACTAAATTTCTTTTTATTTTTATTTTCAAATACAACAAAATAAATAGGTTTGGGTACGTCGACTTCTAAAGAAGCGAAAGAATATTTTCAGGACATGAAACGTCATCGAATACTTTTCAACTACGACGGCCCTTCAGATGATTATTGCATAAACATGGCCTTTAGTAAAAAATGTGCTGATCAAAGAAAGGAATGGTTGACTTCGTGGATGGAAGATTGCAAGCGCCGCAGAGAAACTGGATTGGGAGAAGCATTTTTGTATCAGAAAAATACAATTGCCGTCAGTTATTCCGATTTCATAAATAAGGAATTGGTTTTATTCAGTAATTTGGACAACGAAAGATCAATTCCTAGCATGGTTGACGGTCTTAAACCCGGACAAAGAAAAGTATGGTTTTATTTTGATGTAAACGTAGCAACTCGAACAGTTTTAATTTATATTTGTTTATATTTAAGGTTTTATTCACGTGTTTGAAAAGAAATGATAAAAAAGAAATAAAAGTCGCACAATTGGCTGGATCCGTTGCCGAACATTCGGCGTATCACCACGGTGAAGCTTCTCTAATGGGAACTATTATAAATTTGGCTCAAAATTATGTGGGTAGCAACAATCTTAATTTACTTTTACCCATTGGACAGTTTGGTATTTATTATATTTTAATATTATTTGTAATTTTTTTTTTTTATTGAAGTCGATTGAAAATTTAACAAAATAAAATTAATTTTTCAGGTACTCGTCTTCAAGGGGGCAAAGATGCAGCTAGCCCTCGTTATATATTCACCCTTCTTAATCCTCTCACGAGACTAATATTTCACGTCCACGATGATCCTCTTTTGAAATACAACAAAGACGATAATCAAAAAATAGAGCCGGAATGGTACATTCCAATTATTCCGATGGTACTCGTCAACGGTGCTGATGGAATCGGTACCGGATGGATGACGAAAATACCGAATCACAATCCGAGAGAAATCGTGCAAAATATAAAAAGAATGCTTGACGGTGACGAACCACTTCCCATGGTGAGTTCAAATGAATTTTTGAATGAAAATTCGAAAAAGAAAAGTTAATTTTTTTTTTCATTGTTTAATCCCAACAGAAACCGTGGTACAAGGGATTTAAAGGTGACATTGAATCCTACGGTGATTCAAGGTATCTCGTAAGCGGAGAAATATCAATAATTTCGAACAATCAATTGGAAATAACCGAATTGCCCGTAGGAACATGGACTCAAGCATATAAGGAAAACGTTTTGGAACCTTTGTTGCACGGAGTTGAGAATAAAGTTCCACCATTGATACAGTGAGCATTTAATTAATATTTTAAATCCACGTGTCATTGAAAAATTCAATATGGCCGTTGTTGAATTTAAACGTGATTAAATTTTTTAGGGATTACAAAGAGTACAACACCGATACGACCGTTAGATTCGTTATACAAATGGAACCGAGTAAATTGCAAAAATTCGAAGAAGAGGGATTGCATAAAGTATTTAAATTACAATCGACAATTAGTATAAATTCAATGGTTGGTAGTTTTTTTTTTTTTTTTTTTTTTTTTAGTTAAAATATTTTAAATTTCAATTGAAAAAAAAAAAATTAATAATTTTCAGTGCACTTTCGATTCGAACGGAGTTTTAAAAAGGAGCGAAGATGTCACGGTTATCCTTAAAGAATTCTACGATTTGAGAATGTTATTTTACGTCAAAAGGAAATCGTACCTGGAAGGAATGTTACAATCGGAAGCAGATAAATTAAGTAATCAAGCTAGGTACGAAATAACCAAAAAAATCGCGAAACGTTTTTGAAACCTAGTCGAGTAATTTTTTCATCTCTCTCTTTCTCTCTCTTTCAGGTTTATAATTGAGAAATGCGATGGAAAATTAGTGATCGAAAATAAAAAGAAAAAAGTTATGATTGACGAATTGGTTAAATTGAAATACGAATCCGATCCTGTCAAAACGTGGAAAACGAATATTGATAAGGAAGCAGCATTGGTGAGTTTAACAAAAAAAAGTTTTTCTTTTCTTTTCTCAATGTTTTACGTAAACACATTTAATTTAAGGATGTTTAATTTTTGTCGCAGACTTATGGAGAAATATGGGTAAAAAAAAAATTTTACGAATTTTTATAAATTGATAAGAAAAAAAAAACCTTAATTAATTTATTTATTTTGATTATCAGGAAGATGAGGGTAGCGGAAGCGAAGAAGAAGGTACCGTCAGATCCGGTCCCGATTACGATTATTTGCTCGGAATGCCTCTATGGAGTTTGACTCTGGAAAGGAAAAACGAATTGCTTAAAAAAAGGGATGATAAAATCAAAGAATTGAAATCGTTGCAAGCGAAAAGTCCGTCTCTATTGTGGCGAGAAGATTTGGATGCGTTTTTAGAAAAGGTTTTTATTCCCCCTCCTCCTCCTCCTCCTCCTCCTCCCCCCCCTTCGTTTCCTTCTTCTCGAATTTCAGGGGATTTCGAGAGAAAAAAAAAAATTTTTATTTTATTTAATATTTCAGTTGGATGAAATCGAACAAAAAGAAAAAGAAGAAGAAATGGGAAATGATAAAATGTCGAAAGAGAAAAAGGGTAAAGGGAAAATGGGAAAATTAAAATTAACAGCAGCGGAAACGATGCCGTCACCGGTCGGCCGACGGGTCGTACCCAAAATAAACGAAGAAGATAGGAAAAAATTAGAAAAATTGGATCAGGCTGCGAGAAATGCAAAGGACGGAATTAAAAAGGAAAAGAAAAAGGTTTTATATTTTGCCCATGGGGGGGGGGGAGGGGAGGGGAAAACTCGTTACAAAAAAAAAAATAATAATGTTTGTTTGAATTTAGAAAAAGGATGCGACGTCCGAAGTCGACGATCTCGACAAGCTGACAAATCAAGCGACGAAAAAAGGTTCGCTCGAAGAAAGATTAGGTTTATCACCTGAAATAATTGAGAAAAAGGTTTCGGCGAAAAAATCTAAAAGTAAAGGTAAATAAAGAGAGGGGGGGAGAGAGAGAGAGAGAGAGAAAATTTGTTATTTATCAAAAATTAATTTGTATCAGATAATATGGTTCAAACAAAATTAGAATTTAAATCGAAAAAGAAGGATAGTCCGAGTCCTGGTAAAAAAAAAGGAAAAAAAAAGAATCCCTGGAGCGATAGCGATGATGATAATGATGGCGATAGCGGGTCCGACGATGATTTCGTAAGCACTCCAGTGGCCAGAACCGTATCAAGGCGTGCAGCAGCGGGTTTGTCATTTTCTGATAATTTTTTTAATTGTACGAGAAGGGAGGGGGGGTGGGAAAAGGGAAAAAATAAAACTTTTTTTTTTTCTTTTGCAGCCAAGTTAAATTTCAAAGAAGTTGACGATGTCGAAGATGAAAGCGACGACGGAAGCGAAGAATTACACGATAATAATTTAAATGGAGTCGACGCCGAGGCACCCAAAGTTGTCGTGGATTTAGATAGCGATAACGAATCTCCAGCGTACGTGAAAAATTTTCCATTTAGAAAATCGCGATAAATGTTTAAGGTACGAACGATAAAAAGTATTGAATTTAATCGTTGCAGTCCATCGTCGAAAAGGAAAAGTCGTGACAGCGATTCGGAAAGCGATTTCGAAATAGAAAGAAAGAAAAACAAATCCAGGCCATCGTCGGAGGATCTTTTCGATTCCATGATGAGCGGAAGTAATAAAAATTCTAAACCGGTTGTGGAAATTTCATCGGATGAAGATTCGTCGACGAAAACGAAAAAACGTAAATAAAATGAAGAATTTTCATTCTCTCTCTTTTTTTTTTTTTTTTGTTTTCTCACGGTCGGAAAACTATGGAAATAATAATAATAATGATGATGATAAATTTATGGTTATAGTTGGATGTTTTTCGATGTGTCACGTTTGTCCCATTTTTTTTTTTTTTTAATTTTTTTTTAGGCGCGAAGAAATAATTTAAAAAAAAAAAAAAAAAAAAAACAGGTCCCCGTTTATTATTATTTGTTGTCTCCCCAAAAATTTTACAAAAAAGAAAGAAATAAAATGATGATGGGAAAAAAATGTATTTTGTAAAATTTTAGCTCCGGCGAAAAAGAAAAAAGTGACTGGAGAAAAACCGGAAAAAGTAGAAAAAGGGAAAAAGAAACCACGTGGTCCACCGAAAAAGAAGAAAACATTTTTCGATTTCGACGAAGACAACGACAGTTCCGATTCGGATTTCATCGGTTAATTTAAATTTTTTGGATCGTCCGATGTTTGTCTGTCGTAAGCTTTCGAAAAAAAAAAAAAAAAATGTTTTCTTAACTGTTTTATTTGAATAAGTAATATCTGATGTTTTAAATAGGTTGTTTGCTGTCGCGCCCTGACTGACCCCCCCCCCCCCCGCAGAAATCAGCCAAATCAGAGGAACCAACAGTGAAAATTTCAATTCATGCAGTTATTTTTGCAACAGCGACGGGGGAAAAACAAGAGACAAATGTTTATTTTATTGAATGTAATTTTTAAAAACAAACAAAACAAAACAAAACAAACGACCGCCATTTTTTCTAATGAAAGCAATAATAATAATAATATTTTGTATACATTGATTATAGTTTGTAGTTTTATTTAATTTAATTTAATTTTTTTTACAATTAAGATTTTTGTCTGATAGTGGGTGAAGTGATTTTTTTTTTAGAAAAGTAAAATGTCGTCGATTATTATTATTATTATTATACGTTCATTCCTTTCGCGTTTTTTTTTTTTTTTTTTATATAAGTTTTTGTAAATAATTGAAAATTTTCGCGGGATGTTTTAACCGTTAGAATATAATAATAATAATAATAATTAAAATACGTTTGAATTTTTTATTATTATTACTTTTATTTCGATTTATTTTTTAATCTCGAACATCGAAAATGTTTTTTTTTTTTTTTTTTTTTTTAAATGTTTGTTCGATAATATATATATAAATAAATATTATTATTATTATTTATCGAATATTTTTTGTATTATTGATATTTCGGGTTGTAGTTTTTAAATAAAAAAAAAAAAAAATCGTATTAAACGTTCCTTTTATTTTTATGTATTCGTTTTTAATAACTTATTAACAATACATTTATTTATATATTAACATAAATATTTTTTAAAAAAAATTGTAAAAAAAAATGAATTTAAATTAAAAATATAAATTTTAAAAATATTATGAATAAAATAATTTATTTATTTGTTTTCCTTTTATTTTACCGTTTTTAATTTGTTTAGTTGAAAGAAGAACATTTTCATTTTATGTATTTTGTTAAATTTAATAAATTATTTAAATAAATTCAAATTGTTTAATGAAAAACCGTTGTAAATGTAAACAATTGATTATCCGCCATTTTCGGGGCCCTTAAATAATATTAAAAAAAAAAATTTTTTTCATCCGATATGGAGGTTGGTACGTCTGTAGTTATTGTCTTAAATATATATTTTGAAATTTTGATATATCCGTAACGGTTTTAATTAAATGGTGTGTGACTTTCGATGATGAGTTACAGTACTTGTCAATTTACTTGGCTTAAGCAAAAGGAAACTTTGGTTTCTCTTGCTGAATCGCTTTTACAAGACGAAAATTTTTTCGATTGCCAACTTTGCGCGGAAGGTCATCGTTTCAATGTACACAGGGTAATATTATCATGTAATAGTCCCGTTTTAAATAATATTCTTCAAGAGCATAATTTAGATTCTCCTGTTATTACTCTGGATGGAGTATCATCGATAGAACTAGCTGCTTTGGTTGAATTTATGTACACGGGCGTTACGAAAATATCTCCGGATCATTTGAAAACTTTTTTTCAAACTGCCAAAACTCTACAGTTAGCTGGTTTAACTCATTATGATTCATCTCAAATAGAAAAAATTGTTAACGAAAGTGGTTCTACGATTGTCGATTCGACAACAATAGACAATTACGAATTGTACAGTCAAAATATATTAAAATATTTAAATCAACCTGATGTAAATAATGAAACGACTGAGTCAAAAAATTCAAATAATTTATCTACAAATGTTGATAATATATTTTTAGAAGAAGCAGAAGAAGGAAATAATTTGGTGAATAGCGATTCAATCATGTATGAAAAATATGATTGCGATTATATAAAAGAAGAAGAAAATATTGAAACGCTCGATCCGAATCTCATCGAAAGTGATGTTTTATCGCCATCTTGTGCTAATGGTAATCCAAATTTTCATTTTATTTTTTATTTTTATTTTCTTTTTCATTTCTAAAAATATTCTTTTCCAGCTGATGAAAATGAAATTGAAACAATAGAAACTGAAACTCCTCCATTAATATATAATAAATATCATAATATTTTTATTAAAAATGAAGAAAATTCAATAGATGATAGTATTGCAACTGTATACAGCATTTCAAAAGACAGCAATTCAGGTAACTCATTATAAAAAAAAAACATTTGAAATTAAAGTTTAGGGAAACAATTTTAATAATTAATTATTATATTACAATTTACTCATTATAAAGAGGATAAAGAAGACATGGAATTTACCGAAGTCGGAAACGAATTAAAAGTCACAGATGAGGATGAGAATTTTGTATATGTTAAATTAGACGATAGTAATTTATTAAAGCTCAAGGATAATCAAGTTACCAAAGGAAAGCAAAATTATGTTAAAAGTGATCAGTTACTGTCTGAAAAATGTTTGAAAGTTGTTAATCAGTTAGATAAAAATTACATAGTTAAAAGGCCTAAAATTCAAAATGTAGTGTCGAAAGATTCCAGATCGAATTTGGATGATAAAAAAATATATATTTGCCTTAAATGTGGTAATAAATATTCACACAGGAGAACTCTTTTGCATCATATACACTGGATATGTGAACAGCCTGCAACTTATTCATGTTCATTGTGTCCATATAGGGGAAAAAGAAAATTTCAATTGAAATCTCACATGAAACATGCACATTTGTTAAAAATGAGTTAGTACTCGAATGAAGAGTTCGACGACGACAACAACAATTAAAAATTCCTTTTTTTCGAATGTTTCGAATTCTACTTAACAAAACAGACTCGAGTGTGATTACGACACAAAAACAAACAAGTTAAAATTACTGATGAAACATTTAATAATGTTTAATAATATTTAACAAGCCTTATTATTATTATTATTATTATTATTTTTAAAAAAATATCAGTATTAATTATCAGTGTATAGAGAAAGAAAAAAAAAAAATAAGAAAAACAAACAACAAACAAACAAACAAACAAACGAAAATAAGATGAAATGATAAAATTTGTCAATTTTTTTCAAATGATTTATTTTTTATTTATGTAATTATTGGAAAAAAATAGACAATAGGATTTAATAAATATTAATAATAATAATGATGATTATTTATTTATTTCATTATTATTATTATTATTAATTTTTTAAATTTAATTTAATTTATTTACTATTATTATTATTATTATTTCTTTTTTTTTTTTTTTTTTTGCTGAACTTTGAGTGAGGTTTATTAGGAAAACATAAAAGGAAAAAAATAATTTTTTTACAAAACGATATTAACAGAAAAAAATTTTATGATTTTATTAATGATGATAATAATAATAATGATAATAATAATAATAAAGATGTGAGGCCTTGTATTTTTTTTATAGGCGAAGCACTAAAAAAAAAAAAAAAAAAACTAAATTAATAAAAAAATTAAATTTTATTTTCTTCTTCTTATTACGTAATTAAAAACAAAAGAAAGAATTATTATTATTATTATTTTTTTTTATTAATTAATAATAATTATGTAATTTTTTTTTGTTCATTTAAATAATATTTTACTCACTTTTTTATTTATTTATTTATTTATTATGTTGTTTTTTTTTTTTTAAATTTTTGTTAATCGATTTAATCAATAATCAATAATTATTAAAATTATTATTATTATTTTTTTCAATGATTATTATTATTATTATTTTTTTCGTTTGTTCAGTGAAATTAATATTTACTAACAATAATAATAATAATTTTTCTTGTTAAAAGAAAAAAAAATAAGGTGATTTGTTATTTTAAAGTTATTATTATTATTATTTATTATTATTTATTATTACGTTATCATTATTATTTAAATTGATTTTTTTTTCTTAGGGGGGGAGGGGGGAGGTAAAGGAAAGGCTTCATATTTCAAAAAAAAAATTATTTACTAAAAATTTGCCATTTATTTTCAATAATAAATACATAAATAAATAAATAATGCTTATTTATCATAAATGTAAATTTTCGGATACATACATATTGTTATTATTGTTATCATCGTGACGATAACTTCGTCATCATCACCGCTAACGTCATTAATAATTAATGACGTCATTAAAATCGAAATTTTTTTTTTTTTTTATTTCGATCACGTTTACGATATGATACGATAAATAAGCATTATTGTTGTTATCAATAATAAATTTTATATCATCATCATCATCATCATTATTATTATTATTATTACGCGTAAATTAATAATTACATTCTTTTGTTTACCTTTTTCAATCGTAACAATAATAATAATAATAATATTAATAAAAACAAAAAACGTCAAACATTATTTTTTTTATGAGTAAAATTTTTATGTATAAATAGTTTACAAATCGACATTATTATTATTATCATTTTTATCATCATCATCATCATCATTATCATCATCGATTAACAATACGATCATTACATATATATATATATATATATATATATATATATATATATATATATATATATATATATATATATATATATATATATATATATATATAAAACGAAAACTTAAAATAATAATAATAAAATTTACACTTTTAATTATAATAATAATAATAATAATGATAATGATAATGAGGTGACGAAACTGGGATAGATTTCGGTGGATTTAATAAGTTTTCCGATTGTCTTTTTTTTTTTTTCTTATTATTATTATCATTATTAATTTAACAAAGCACTCAAACGGCCATATTGATTATACAAAAAATTGTATTTATGTATATATATATATATATATATATGTAAATAATTATCATTATGATTTTTATTTTGTATTGTAAATAATCAAATACCATGAAAAAATCTTATTATTATTATTATTAATATTTTTCATTAATTAATAATTTAATTAATAATTAATTTAACTTTTTTGTTGTTAATAATAATAATAGTTTTTAAAAAGTTTTTATGCGTTAAAACTAATATTATTATTATTATTGTTGTTTTTGTTGTTGTTGTTGTTGTTGTTATTGATAATTAATTAATTAATCATTTGAAAAAAACGATTTTCTTGCATTAGAGAATTCAAAGAAGATGTCAAATCGTTGACGACCATGTTGGATGTCGGATGAGTGGAACTGGAAACTTCGTTCGACCATATTTGACATTGTTGAACATATTCCAGAGTTCTTTCGTAAGCGTCACGTGGCATTCTCACTTCGGATTGGCTAATGTCGGTGCACTGGATTTCGTTATCGTAATTTTCTCCGTTGAAATTTTTATAAATGTTTTTTTCCGAGTCTTTGTTTAGAGTTCCAGGCGTTACACCTCCTCCTACGACACCGACTCCGTTGTTCTGATAGTGACAACTTCTACACATTTTGTTGTGATGATGTTGAACACAATTTGTTTTCACTTCGTGATTGTTTCCATTGTTACAACCGCATCGTGAATATTGTCCGTTGATTGTTTGATTTTGTTGGATTTGAGAATTATAAGGTACGGTTTGATGTACCGTGTGAGAATTGTTCATGACTTGGTGACCGGTGTTGCAATTGTGTATTTGATTGTTACCGCATTGCGGATAGTTTGGAGTTTGCTGGCAAACGTTTACGCAATTCGTGCAATGATCGTGTGCGTAACATAAATGATTTTGACACGACGGATAAAAAGAAGATTGGTGAGGATGTTGAAGAGAAGAATTGAAATCTTGCTGATAGTTTTGTCCCGGAATGGGAGTTTGCGAACATACTTGATTGGTTTGTACAGGTTTGGTACCATTGTTTAAATGACACCTGTAATTGTTGAAATTGTAACCGTTTCTATCGGGTGCTCTACCTTGTTGATTTTGTAACTGAGTTTGGTAATTGTGATAGTGGTGGTTTCCTTGGTTTTGAGAACAATATGAACCGTGATGGTGGTGATGGTAGTGCGATGGCGGATAATGATCGTGACCGTGTTGTGTTATACATTGATTATTTCCATAATTTGAATAATTTCCATTTTGTTGATTAATGTTGGTGGTAGCTTGACTGACGGTAGATTTGTCGTCTGATGGATCGGAATGTTGAGCCGCTGGATTAATAACAATTTGCTGTGCTTGATTGTTGTTGGTTGTGGTGGTGGTGGTGGTATTTGTGTTGAGTTTTTTAACATTTTGATCATTCATGTCGTTTGAATTGAAGTCTGTGAAAACTTGTTGGATGTTGTGAACTTCTTTGACGTTGTCGTCGTTGGAGTTGTTGGTGGTGTTATCTTTCACGGTTCTCGTGGCGTTTTCATTGACGTTAATATTATTATTATTACTACCACCATTGTTGTTAATGCATTTACTGTTGTTAGCGTTGGTGTCGTTGTTATTAGTCGCACCAGCGTTGCAGTCTTGATTAAAAGTTTCCGTTTTTGTTTCTAATTTCGGGTCGGGAGGTGATGACAATTCTGTGATTTGATTATCAGTATCAAGTATGGCAGCCACTTGACTCAAATATCTTTCCATTTCGTCGGGAATGACTAATTTATTTTCAATCATTTCGCCTTCATTAATCTGTTCTAGTTGAACTTCTTGATTCGGATGAAGGGGATCAATTGTTGGCTGCTGCGTTACGTCTGAGCAAGGTTCAGTAGGATTAACTGGTGGTAAAACCGGTGGAAGTTCTCCATTTAGTGACATGTTGGCAGTCTGAAAATAAAAAAAAAAAAGGTTAGTTTATTTATAATTTTTTTTTTTTCAATCACAAAAACTTTCGTTTAATCCGATAGGGGGAAAAAGAAAAATCATACCTGAAGAACTAAATTCGATGTGTTGGTAAAAATGTTTCGAACCGGACTCATAGCAGGGCCTAATGTTGCCAAAGTCGGTACGGAATCTACAGTTTGAACACCAACAGATAAGGAGGAACTGTTTATATTGTGATTTGCTGTCAGTGAACTAACATTGGAATTGTAAATGGGACTTAAAATATTTGAATTAGGACTGAGAACGTCTGAACACAACAAATTCGGACAAAGAGAATTCGAATTGGGGCTCAAAGCGTGGATATTTTGAGCAACGGTCGAAGAATGACTCGGACTCAAGTGATTGGGCAACGGAGAAATCGGTTGATAATTCGGACTGTTTGTCGGACTCATCAAAGTTTTAACGGTTCCAGGTTTACCACCCTGACACATGGTACCATATTGATGTGAATGCATCATTGATATTTGAGAATTTGTTCCCATTATCGATGGACTTCTTCCCGGTTGTGACATTTGAGACGATCGACGTGAACTTCCCGGAGATATGGGGTCATAAAAAGAAGCTATGGCACAGCTGTTGGCACGTGATGCCTGTAATAAATTTAAAAAAATTTTTTTTAAACAATTTTATTATTATTATTTTTACAAATGGCCGTTAAAAACAAAAAATTTTTTTTTTATTTACTTGAGATGCTTGACTGTTACGTCTACTTGACACGTGAGACATTGTACCGTAGCAACTAACCGTCGAATTCGAATCTCTTCTGTTATTATCGAGTATCGTTTTAATACCTGGACCGCAAGATTTTGGACCCAATCGCGTTTGCTCTTGGATTTTAGGTTCCATTTTTAATTCTGCTATTTTTCTTCCGAGATCTATCAATCTCATTCCGCCTGTAATTATAAATGATTTAAAAAATTTTTGTCTTCCTGCCTTTTTTTTTTTTTTTTTGAAAACGGTTTCGTTTAATTTTTTTTGTTGGTAAATTTACCCGGAGCAGACGATAGTGCAAGTCCTTTGGCTTGCAATCTCGATTTAAGACGATTTCTCGTATTTCTCGTTGTTACCGCCACGCTGAGATCGGATCCTAAGTCGATGTCTTCCGACCAGTTAGCATCTTCAACGAGATCTGCTAAAACGGATGGTGGACTGTCACTGACTTCGTCTCCCCAAACGGCATGCTGCCTCGATAGAGGAGAACCTTGATTCGTACCAGGACTAGGCGCTTCCTAAAAAAAAATTTTTTTTTATTAATAAATTTTAAGAGAACATGGTTGGTTCAGTTATTAAAAGAAAACATACTTCGGATTTAACAGTGGAAGGACTCGATAATGATGTTGTTTTTGATAGTTGACCTTCATCCGACCTCGAAGGTGAGGGCATATTAGTTGACCCGTCAGGTTCTTGATCAGGTGATGGCCCTAATTTGTGTTTTTTATTTGCGTAAAAATCAGCTCCGTGTACGGTTTTAACGTGTTTTCTAAGAGAACTTGGATCCGTATACCTTTTCGAACAACCGGGAGCTCTACAAACGTACGGTTTCTAAAATCGACAAAAAACAAAAAATTTTTATTTGGAGGGAAGGGGGTGAAACTTCGAGAAAGATCGACAGCAAAAATTTTCATCACTTTTTTTTTTACTCACTTAATAAAATCCTTTTTTAAAAAGTTAAGCAAAACAACAAACGATAATTTTTTTTTTTTGGTTTTTTAATCGATAACAAACAGATTTTCAAACAATCATCATCATCATTATCTTACCTCATTCGAATGTGTCCGATTTTGATGTTTTGCTCTATCGCTCGCATTACTGAATGCTTTCGAACAACCTGGATATTCGCAAGTGTATGGTTTTTCTCCAGTGTGTGATCTTAAATGAGTTTTTAAATTCTCTAATCTCGAATATGCTTTAAAACAACCTTCGAACTGTAAATGACAAAACAATTTTCCGCATTAAACAACCGTCGCCGACAAACGACAGATTTTTTTGTTTGAAAATCTACAAACCGTGCATTTATGAGGTTTTTCTCCAGTGTGCCGTCGCATGTGTACCACGAGCATGTATTGAGCTTTAAATGGTTTTTCATCTCTAGAACAATCTTCCCAACGACATATAAAACTTTTTTTATTTACATGTATGTGATCGTTGTTTATATGTTTAACTAAATCATCTTGGGTTGGAAATTCCATAGTGCATTCTTTCCAGTGACAATTTGTTTCGATGAAATCCGCGGGTTCATCTTTTAAATCACCGCAATCGGGTGATTTTGTCGTTTCTGTACCACCACCACCTCCTCCTCCGGTTCCGGTTCCTGTTTTTGTTTCTTTTTTGATTCTATTAGTCTGCTGGAATGATTTGGAAAGATGATTATTTAATTTTAAAAATTTGTTTTCTCGTTTCAGACATAACAAGAATAAAAAGATATAAATAGAAACAAATTTAAAATCAATAAATAAATAAATTACCTTTCTATCAGTCAAACTGTCTGCTTCGGCTCTTATACTGCAATCTTGTCTTCCTTCAACTTTTGGAAGTGATGCAGTTGAACCCAAAGGATGATGAGATATAGAAAACAAACTACCATGAGATCCTTGTGTGTGCGAAGTCGGACCCAGAGGTGGTAAAAGTCCTTGACTCCGAAGCAAATGAGCCTAAACCGTAATAATAATAATAAAGTAATTTTTTTTTTTCTTTTTGTTTTTATTTAAATATTAATGATGATTATTGTTGGTACCTGTAGTTGCGGCATGTGCATGTTAAGTGCGGGACTGAGAGCCCCTGCAGACAAATGTCCATAACTTCCGCTCGCTGACGAACTCCGACTCCCATTAACTAAACTATTAACTAAACTATTTGGCGAAAACCTTATCATAGAATTGATGTCGAAAGAGTCGGAATAGGGAGACGATGACAAAGCACGCTTTCTACTTTGTCTTATAGCACTAGAAGGACAAGGCGAGGGAAGTCTCGAATCTATAGAATATGGCAATTCGGTACTCGCCACCGTTGACGGCGGTGGTATCGACGTGAGATATTCCGAAGGAAAACTAAGCCCTGTAAAAATTGACCAGTGCCAGTGTTGAACAATCGAAATTTCGAAAATAAAACGCGAGTGGTAATAATAATAATAATAATTTACCGTGCAAAGACGATGTCGGGCTGTTGTGAAGGCTTGCGTATATGTGCTCCATATACTGCGGTAGGCGATAAGCGGGGTGATAATCCCCAGGGCCGGGAGGAGCGGCTCCGAGGCCCCGCCGAGCCGCCAACAATTGCAATTCCGGTACGCCGCTCGAAACGCTGCTGGAGAGCCTGGAAAAATATACAAAAATTCATTCATTCATCGAATTTAAGAAAAAAGGAAAAAGAAAATGGACGGAAAATACTTTCATCACGTGAGTTAAAATAAATTTTTATTATTTTATTTTATTTTATTTTATTTTCGACAGAATTTCTTATTCGGTTTTTTGCAAAAAAAGAAATTTCTAGAACTTCGCGTTCTGAACAAAAAAAAAAAATCCCCTTTTAAATCCAATTAAAATTCAACGACAGGAAAAAATAATAAAAAAAAAAAATATGAGAAAAACCGTCGAGACGACAGAAGTAAAAATATATGTTTGACACATGCGTTAAATTTACCATATGTTAACATTTAAATTTTTTTTTTTTTTTCTAATGACACGACAGTTATAATATTTTTTTTTTTTTTTTTAATTTTTAATTTTGAATTATTTTAACGAACGTATATTTAAAAAAAATTTTCGCGAAAACGATTTAAATAATGATTACCACCCATAATTAATCAGGAACGATTTTCAAAAACTGTAGGAGGGGGGAGGGAGGGTAAAAGAGAGAGAGAAGGGGGAGGGAAAGAGGAGGGAGACAAAACAGAACACAACAAACTTTAAATTTAAATTTAAAAAAAAAAAAAAAACACATAAAATCAAAGATTTCTTAATAGAAATCAATAAAAATGTAATTAGAGTTTTAAAATAGTCGTCTAGTAGGTTTTAAACATTAATAATAATAATAATGATGATGATGATAATAATAATAATGATAATAATTCATGGTAAAATTATTTGTTTTGAAAAAAAGTCGTTCGATTTTATCGTTCTTCGATGTTTTTCTTATGTTAAATATTTTTTAATTAATTTTTTTTTTTTATATCTCTAATGAGGTGGTTTCCTCTCTCTTTCTCTCTCTCACTCTCTCTCTCTCTCTCTCTCTCTCTCTCTCTCTCTCTCTCTCTCTCTCTCTCTCTCTCTCTCTCTCCGGTAAATCATTTGTGCCCAATGACCCGAACAGGTTTATCACACTGAAACCAATTTTTTTTTTTTTTTCTACGCCATCATCGTCATAAAAATTTTTTTTCTCTCTCGTTTTTTTTTTTTTTTTTTTTTTTTTTGGTTCCCCGACAGGAAACGAACGCGAACGGGAAATTTTTTTTTGATTTACGACTTACACGCGCATTCACACACGCACGCACACATAAAACACGACAGCGAACGTTATTCGAACAAAAATTTAATCGAATAAATTAAATAAATCAAAAATTTAATTGATGATGATTATGATGGTTGTGATGATAATAATAATAACGGAAATAGTTTCAATCGAACGTGATTCGAAAATTCAATACCGACCGTTCGGTTAAGCGTTCGTTTTTTTTTTTGTTCGCTCCCTCCTCTAACAAACAAATAATAATTTATCGAGTCATTATTAAATTTATTATTATTATTTTTATTAATATTTCGAGAATTTTCGATTCATTCAAACTCCCTCTTGATAAAACCTTTTACAATCGAAAAGATTTTTGATGAGTGTGTTGATAATGATGATGATGATGATGATTACAAACGGCGGGAATCAAAAGAAAAAAATTGTTTAAACAAATTGTTAAGTTAAATCAATGTTAAAAAGTCAATATATATATAAAGTAAACAATTATTAAAGCCCTTGTAATGAGGTAAACAAATTTACATTAAAAAATAAATAAATAAATAAACATTATGTGTCGAAAAAATACGACTTACGCGTTTTTCCCTTCCCCTCTTCTTTTTCCCATTATTATTATTATCATCGTTGTTGTTTTTGTAGTTACAACAACTACTACAACAACAACAACAAACTTCCGACAAATTGTAAGTGATCATTATTGTAAATATTTTATCAGAATCAACAACGTTCGACCTCTCTCGTCATCCGCCTTCCTTCCTTTATTTATTTATTTCATTTAAACGTTTCGATGATGGTTTAAATTTTTTTTTCTTAATTGTCAGAACGGTTTATTCTCTCTCTCTCTCTCTTCTCCAGATTTTTTTTTCTCCAGAGCGCCCCTCCCCCATTTGTTTTTTTTTTTTTTTGACGAAACCACTCGCGCGGTAACCCTTGTATAAAATTATTTTAATTTTTAAATTCTCGTCGATAATGAATTTTAAATCATCATCATCATCATCGTCATCATCATGATCATCATCATCATCATCATCATCATCATCATCATCATCATTATCATCATTATCATCATCATCAACTTTCGTTCGAATCTACATATCAGACTTTGCGTACATTTCATTTGACGTATTTTTTCTTTCGATTTCGTAACGTTTCCGGTTCGTCGGTTCCGTCGTCGTTTTTTTTTTTTTTTGGTTTAATGACGTCACGAATAGATTACGTCACAAATTTTTTTTAAAATAATTCCACGACGAATGAAATGATAACGATAACGATACAATAAATAAAGTATTATTAAAAATTAACTAAGCGAGAATGAGGATGTGAACAAACTTAAAAAAAAAATAATAATAATAAAATAAAAGAAAGAAATTAGATCCATGCCTGGAAGTACGAACGAACAGTTAATAATAATGATAATAATAATAATAATAATACTCAAACAGGTTTTTTACGCATTAAAACATAACACAAATAAACACGAAAAGAAAAAAAAACATATTAAATTAATTTATAACCTGGAGAAAAATTCGTTAAATTTTTTTTTTTTTTTTTTTAATATTCAAATAAAACGTATTTTTATAAACCGACGACGACGACGACGACGACGACGACGACGACGATGATGATGATGATTTTTTCATTTTATATGATTTAATTATCATTATTATTATCATCATTTTTACCATCTTCGTAATATCGTTCGTAATAAACAATTAATAAACTATAAATGATAAATTCCAGTTTGGAATTTGATATTGTAAAAATAATATAACCGTGACTAGGAACGATGATGATGATAATGATGATAATAATAATAATGATGATGATGATGATAATGATGATAACGTATAAAGTAACAATATAATTATAATTATTTTTTTAATGGTGACCGATGGTTACTTTGTAAAAAAAAAACGTTTTACTCGTTTTTTTTTTTTTTTTTGAAATTCTATATCGTATTTCCGTTCGAGCATAAATTGTGCGTAAAAAAATGTGCGTGTACGCGTGCGTGAGGTGATGACGTCAACAACAACAACAGACTTACCGTTATTGGGAAAAATTATTATAATAATCAAGTGATTCCGATAACAATTCCATAAACGATTACGTTAGTAAATTTACATCCATTATTCATTGTTATCATTCCTGTCTTCTGCTACCCCTAACATCAATTATCACATTTTCACATTATCATTTTCCGTCTACTGCTTTTCCCGCGCGCAAAAAAAATTAATTTGATGACGTCGTGACGCGATTTAATTCGATTTTAAATTTTTTCTAACACTTCGCGTTTGTTTGCTTTTTTTTCATCATCATTATTAACGTTTGACGACGATTGACATTTAATTCGATTGTTTAATAATAATAATAATAATAATAATAATAATAAAACAAACGAAAAAATGAAAAACCGCAAAAAAAAAATAAAAATAATAATAATTATAAAACGCGTGTACGAAATGAACCGGGCAAGTTTTTATACTGACTCTCGAAAAACTAAGAAAACTTTAAGAGAGAGAGAGAGAGAGAAAATCTTTACAGCTTCATTTGAAACCGAAGCAAGTAACAACAACAAAGGGAAAACCAAGAAGACATTATTTTACTTATGGACCACCCAAGATTTCTTTCATCAGTGTCGGCTTGCGTGGCATGAACCCCGTATGGATGAATCGAAATCCATTTTACGCGCGCGTGTACGTGTGCGTGAGTGAGTGAGTGCGTGAGTGCCCCAAAACTTTTTTTATTCTTTTTCTTTCTTTCTTTCTCACCGAGTAAATTCGAAAACATTCTCCCCGAAAAACAAAAAAAAAAAAAAAAAAAAACAAAAAAAAACTCATAAAAAATAATTAACCAAAAAAAAATTTTTCCAAATAAATGTAATAATAATAATAATAATATCTATCGATAAATCGTTCGTTCGATCGATCGATCCATCGATTGATTCGTCGATTCATCGATTTTTAATGGTCGTTTGATAGAAAAGAAAGAAAAACAATCGTTTTTTCTTTTTTGAAGTACTTTGTTATTAAGTTGTTGCATTTTCGACAAAAAAAAAAAAAATTTCATTGTCGTTTTTTTTAAATGATGATGATGATGATAATGATAATAAGAGTGGGGGGAGGGGAAGAGGGGAAAATAATAAAAAAATTTGAAATCTTTCCAAAACGATGGCAACGAAATCGGTTTTGCATTGTTTCCAATAATAAAAAAAAATTTTACTTTTTTTTTTTTTTATAGAGCTATAAAAACTATAATTTTCGTTTTTTTTTTTTAAATAATAATAATAATAGTAATGTACCGTAAGGAAATATTTTTAAAAAAAATTATATAAATTTTCCAGCGACGAGCTGGAACGCTCAAAAAAAAAAAAAAAAAATTTTTTTGGAGAAATAATTGAACAAACCGACACTGATTTGCAGTCCATTTAATTTTTAAAAACCAAAAAAAAAAAAAAATTAATAAAAAAAAAACTCGAATTACTCCAACTTTCAATTTTATAATTTTTAAATTTTTTTTACGTAATAATAATAATAATAATAATAATAATGACAACGATCGTGATGATGATGATGATGATGATGATAAACAAAAAATTCAACGAATTTATTTATGCGGTGAACGGTTTAGGAAAATTTTTTTTTTTCCATTTTGAATTTTCCACCGAATAAATATTCGAAAAAAAATTTTTTTTTTTTTTTGACAAATTCTCATCTTTCGTTCATCTCCCCACCTTTTTCTTTCTTCTTCTTCATCACCACCCCCACCACCACCACCACCATCAT